GAGCCTTCGGTGGAACCTGAAGCGCGTAAGCGGTGTGCCAAAATGGAGCATGTGGGTTGCGTCACGGTGACCTTCGGGGGAAATCCACGAAGGGCATGCCTCCGTGGGTGGCGCGGACGCATGCGCGCTGTGCCGGTGAAGCCTTCGGTGAAGCTCCCTGCGGGGCCACGGAACGTGTGGGGGGGCGTGTGCCGAAATTGGTTGCGCGGACGCATGCGGGCTGCGCCGTTAACCTGATGGAGCACTCTATGGGGCCACGAACCGTATGGGGGTCCTTCTGACAGGGCGATGCTCATCAGACTGGTCGCGAAGATCGGCGACTACCGCAAGGTTGAGATGACTCCTTTCAAACTGATCCTACAGCTGCGGTCCATCCTGAGGGCCGGGGGGTCCAGCCTGGTTTCAATGTGGCTGTTAAGTGTTGTTTATGTGTGTTTCCCCGAAAGGGCGGGGGCGCAGGGTTCTCTTTGAGTAGGCTTACCCCCGGAATCGACTTGAGACGGGCCGGCGAATTTTATCTACGATAGAAAAACGAGGTGAAGTCCGATTCGGCGTGGGAAACATATGTTTTGCGCGTGCCCGCTAGAGGAGAATGTCCCACCCTATGTCGGATCCTCGTTGACTAACGGGGTCCGCAGACCCCCGCTTCCCCTAGTAAAAATAGAGCCAAAGGATGCGCAGCGTTTTGCGCAGAATCCTTACGAAATGACGAGGTACGGAGACCCCAAATCTTTGACCGGCCGTTGTGAAAACATGGGGAAGCTGACTTTTTGCGTGCCCGCTCGAGGATGGCGCGTCCCGCGCGCAGGAATTTCGAGGATGTCTCAAGCCCCACGTGTGCTTTTCAGAAAGAAGGTTTGTTATTTCTCGGAAAGGGCGTGGGCCCAGGGTTCTCTTTTAGGGGTTTGCCCCCGGATTTGACGGCTGTAGGCCCGGTTTTTTTTGTTATAAATAACGAGGTCGCGTAGGGCCGGCGAATTAAAATTTGAGGATGTCTCGAGCGAAACGTTTATCTCCTTGGGACCTGAATTCAGAGGATCTCTCAAGTGAAATGCTTGTTTTCACGTGCCCAGGTCTTGAGGATGTCTCGAGCGAGACGCTTGGTTTCACGCCTCCAGGTTGCCCAGACAGAGGTCTAGCGCCAGGATTAGTTGAGGATGTCTCGAGCGAGACGCTTGGTTTGACGCGTCCTCGTCGCCCAGGCGGATGTCTAGCATGAGGATGTGTCGAGGAAGTCTCGATCGAGACGCTTGTTTGCACGTGTCCAGGTGGCCCAGGCGGATGTCTAGCATGAGGATGTGCTGAGAACGTCATGAGCGAAACGTGTGTTTCCACGTGTCCAGGTAGCCCAGGCACAGCACAGCCCTCGGCACGGTACATCAACATCGATACCCTTCGCATTGCAGCCTGGCATGTTGCCTGGCACGTTCCGCGGAGCGTCCCGTGGCGAGTCCCCCTAGCACGTCGCGCGGTGCACGTCCATAGGTACGTTCCGTAGCGCGTCTCTTTGGCACGTTCCGCGGTGCGTCCCCATGGCACGTCCCCTAGCACGTCGCCTGGCGCGTCCCTTGGGACGTTCCGCGGCGCGTCTTCCTGGCATGTCCTCTCTGTTGATTAGTTCTGGGGCAGCTACCATCTGCTCAGGCAGCTCGAGCTTAAGATCCAGATCAGTTCGGTCAGGACTCGGATGCCAGGGAGGACTCGATCCACAACGCTATATAGAGCACAATCGCGGCATGGCACATCGCAGTTCTACACGCCCACGCACGGCACAGCCCTCGGCACGGTACATCAAGATCGATACACTGCACATTGCACTTTGGCACGTTCCTTGGCACGTTTCGTGGCGAGTCCACCTGGCACGTCGCGCGGCGCGTCCCCTGGCACGTCCCGCGGCACGTCCATTGGCACGTTCCGTAGCGCGTCCCCTTGGCACGTCCCGCGGTGCGTCCCCATGGCACGTCCCTTGGCACGTCGCCTGGCGCGTCCTTGGGACGTTCCGCGGCGCGTCCTCCTGGCATGTCCCCTCTGTCGATTAGTTCTGGGGCAGCTACCATCTGCTCAGGCAGATCGAGCTTACGATCCAGATCAGTTCGGTCAGGACTCGGATGCCAGGGAGGACTCGATCCACAACGCTATATATATATATATATAGAGAGAGCACAATTGCGGCATGGCACATCGCAGTTCAGCACGGCGTAGTACAGCACAGCCCTCGGCACAGTACATCAAGATCGATACATTCAGCATTGCATTTGCCCGTCGCCCAGTCAGGTGTCTTTGAAACGTTGCCATGCCTTACACTTCTATATTCCTCTCTGGGTTCGTGGGTCGATCATGCTGCGTGCCCACTCGAGGAAGGCGCACCCTGCGCGCCGAACTTCTGAGGATGTCTATTGCGAAACGCTTGTTTTGCAGCGCTTGAAAGGCCTGGGCGCCCCAGGATGCCCAGGTGGTTTGGGGAGTGCAGTTGTACCGTTATTCACAAAGGATCGTGGCCCAGGGAGCGCGGATGCCGCGTTATTTTGCAAAAAGGATTCTGGCCTTGGGAGCGCGGACGCAGTGTAATTTACTAGAGATCCTGGCCCTGGAGACGCGAACCCAGTGCAATTTACGATGGATCGTGGCCCTGGGAGCACGGACGCTGCGTAATTCCCGAGGGAGCGCGGCCCTGGGAGCGCGGACGCAGTGTAATTTACGAGGATCGTGGCACAGGGAGAGCGGACGCAGCGTAATTTACCATGGACCGTGGCCCTGGGAGCGTGGACGCAGCGTCAATTCCTAGGGATCCTGGCGGGGGGGGGGCGGACATGGCGTAATTTAATAGAGAACGTAGCTTTAGGAACGCGGACACAGCGTAATTCACAAGGGAGCGCGGTCTTGGGAGCGCGGACGCAGTGTAGCTTTCGAGGGATCGTGGCCCAGGGCGAGCGGACGCAGCAGAATCTACAAAGGATCGTGTCTATGGAAGCGCGGACGCAGCATGATTTACGATGAATCGTTGCCCTGGGAGCGCGGACGAAGTGTAATTTACAAGGGATCGTGGCTCTTTGGGTTGCTGACACAGCGTAATTTAATGGGGAACGTGGCCCTGGGAGCGCGGACATAGCGTCATTCATGAGGGACCGCTGCCTGGGGAGTGCGGACGCCGCGTAGTTAACATGGGATCGTGGCCCTGGAAGGCGCAACGTAATGTACAAGGGATCGTGGCCCTGGGAGCACGGACGCAGTGTAATTTATGATGGATCGTGGCCATGGGAGCGCGGACGCATAGTAATTTACCATGGATCCTGACCCTGGGTCAGGGGCGTCCCGCGGCACGTTCCCTGACGCGTTCCCTGGCACGTTCTCTGGCACGTTCCTTGGCGCGTTTCGTGGCGAGTCCCCCTGGCACGTCGCCCGGCGCGTCCCCTGGCACGTCCGGTGGCACTTCCATTGGCGCGTTCCATAGCGCGTCCTTTGGCACGTCCCGCGTGGCACGACCCTTGGCGCGTCCCCTGGGACGTTCCGCGGCGCGTCCCCATGGCATGTCTCCCTGTCAATTAGCTCTGGAGCAGCTTCTATGTGCTCTGGCAGCTCGAGCTTATCAGCCAAATCCGTCTGGTCAGGACTCGGATAAAAAAGGGGACTCGATCCACAACGCTACAGAGCACCAATTGCCCGTCGCCCAATCAGGTGTCTTGAAAACGCTGCCATGCCTTACGTTTCTATATTCCTTTCCGGGTTCGTGGGTCGATCATGCTGTTGAATACGACGTCCCCGGACCTGACCGGGCGCGGAGCCCCCCCCATGCCTCAGACAGTCGTAGGGATGTGCCTTCTGAAGCTGGGCAGCTGGGCGAGTGCTCACGATCGGCACAGAGATACGGAAATGCTGATCACAGGTGTACAGTGAGCGGCTTCAATAAGGAACACTTACTTTTCAAAAGGGGCTCGGTCGTTCCTTAGGCTTTACATGCGTTATTTGCAGTTCCTTCATGCGTTATCTAGTATTTATCGTCTGCGTTATTCCGTGGGATAAAAAAAAAGGGGCTTCGTTCTTAATTTATCGTTCCTTAGGTCAGGCCGATGACTGTAGGTCGGCGGCAAGCCCCGGGGGAAAGTACAAGGGGGGCAGGCCCACTCAGAAGGCGGCGGGGCTCCGCAGAGGCCCTCCGGCCTTCTGCGAGGCCGCCTCCGTCTTCGGAGGGGACGCAGGATGCGTCACAGAGGGCCCGAGGCCTGCCGAGCCTTCTGAGAAGGCCCGCCCCCGCTGACTCCCTACGCCGGGCTCGCCGCCGACGGAGGCACGACCTCTCGGTCCCTCGATCCCTTCCCGGGGACGGCCTCATCTCTCACGCGCAGGCTGGCACGACCCCTCGACCTGGCTGGCACGACCTCTCGATCCCTTCTCGGGGGCGCGCTCATCTCCCGCGCGGGGCCCGAGGGCGCCCTCCCCCGAGACGCTGGAAGAGCTCGCGAGGCACCTGCGCCCCGACGTCTTCCAAGGTTCGGCGGCGGAAACCGAGGGGCAACGGGGTCGCCGAACACCGAGGTTCTTCCAAGGTCCGCCGATCAACGGTTCAGGCAACTCGAGGGGCGGCGGGGGTAGGTTTCGGGATTCCTCGAACACGTGGCGAAATCCGAACCTGCCCGCGCCTCCCATCGATTCAGGGCAGTCGATGGTTGGTGGGGGTAGGGTTCGAGGTCGCGCCTTTTGAGGTAACCGTCGTGCCTTTTGAGGTCGTAACCGCTGCCGCTGCTGGCGGAGTCGTTGCCGCCGCCGTCGCTTCCGTCATCGTCGTCGTCGTTGTCCGCAGCGCCTTGCCCTCCCTCCCTCGATGAGGATCACCAGGCTGACCCGCCTCGCTCCCGCCTCGCCCCCCCTCGCAGGAAGGAGGGGGGCAGACAGACGGAGAAGCAGGAGGAGGAGGAGGCAAGGATGCGGACCCGCAGGGGCGCCGCATCCCGGGCGGCCCCCCCGCGGCGGCCCCGCCGCCGAGCACCGCGCGCCGCCCAGAGGCGCCCCCCGCCCGCGACCCGCAGCAGAGGGCGCGGGACAAGGACGAGTGGCGCGAGGCGCGCGGCGGCCTCCTAGGGGCGCGGCCGCGAGCCCCCCCTTCGGAGGGTCGAGGAAGAGCGACGTCTCCATGGCTCCCTGTCGGCGCCAGCGTGCGTGCCTCTCCTCGCTTCGCCGCCAGGGTCCCCGGCGTGCTGGGCGGAGTCTGAGCATGTGTGTGGCGTCTGCTCTCAGCCCCTCTCTCTCTCTCTCTGCTTCTCTCTCTCTCTCTCTCTCTCTCTCTCTCTCCCTCTGACCCCGGCGTGCAGGGCGTGCACGAAGGTGCATGGCCTTCACACGCAGCGCGTTTGAAGCAATCGGGGTTGCGATGTGTAGGCGTGTGTCTTCCGTGTGTGTGTGTGCGCGTGTGTGTATGTGTGTGTGTGTTCCGCGTGTGTGTGTGTGTGTGTGTGTGTGCGTGTGTGTGTGTGCGTGTGTTCCGCGTGTGTGTGTGTGTGTGCGTGTGTGTTCCGTGTGTGTTTGTGTGTTCCGTGTGTTTTTTTTTGTTTTGTGTGTGTGCGTGCGTGCGTGCGTGCGTGCGTGCGTGCGTGTTTGTGAGGTATATGTGTGTGCGTGTGCGCGTGCGTGCGAGCGTGTGTTCCGTGTGTGTGTGTGTGTGTGATTGTGTGTGTTCCGTGTGTGTTGTTTTGTTTTGTATGTGCGTGCGTGCGTGCGTGCGTGCGTGCGTGCGTGCGTGCGTGCGTGTTTGCGTGTGTGTGGGTGTGTGTGTGCGTGTTCCGTTTGTGTGTTATGTGTGTTATACGTGTGTGTTTGTTGTGTGTGTGTGTTTGGGTGTGTTGTGTGTATGTGTGTGCTTGTGCTTTTGTCTGTGTGTGCGCGCGTGTGTGTGGGGTGGTGGTGAACCTAGAGGACCCTCTCGTCGGAGAACTCTCGGGTCCTTATCGTCGGGGAACCCGTGTGTGGCCGAGGCTCTCTTTCTCTTTTTCCCGGAAAGGGCTCCGTCCCAGGGTTGTCTTTTAGTAGGTAAACCTGTCCCTGGTGCCATGCGGGAGGTGGGCCGGCGGAATTATTTCTTGATAATTTTCAAGGTCGAGGTGGGCCGGCGGAATTAATTGGGAGAATGTCTCGAGCGAAACGCTTGTTTTCAGAATTTGTTGAGGATGCCTCTAGCAAAACGCTGGTTTTGCAGAGTTGAGGATGTCTCGAGCGAAACGCTTGTTTTCAGAAATTGTTCAGGATTTCTTGAGCGAAACGCTGGTATTGCAGAGCCGACCGCGACGCGGAAAAGCGCTCCGCGCGCAGGAATTCCGAGGATGTCTCGCGCGTGCCGCGTCCCGCGCGCAGGAATTTCAAGGATGTCTCAACTAATTCGCTGGTTTTCCAGGATTCCCCTGAATTTTTGCATGATGTTTCGAGCGAAATGCTTGTTTTCAGAGTTTGTTGAGGATGTCTCGACCGAAACTTTGGTTTTGCATAATTCGGGGATGTCTCGAGCGGGGGCCTCGTGGGGGACCAGAATTCAGAGGATGCCTCAAGCGAAATGCTTGTTTTCACGTCCTGCTGGCAGGAATTCCGAGGATGTCTCGCGCGTGCCGCGTCCCGCGCGCAGGAACTTCGAGGATGTCTAGGCTAATTCGCTGGTTTTGTTAGGATTTCTTGGGATTTTGACCGGATGTCTTGAGCGAAACATTGTTTTTCATAATTGGTTGAAGATCTCTCGAGCGAAACGCTGGTTTTGCAAAATTGGGGGATGTCTCGAGCGGGGGCCTCGTGGGGGGCCAGAATTCAGAGGATGTCTCAGGCGACATGCTTGTTTTCACTTCCCGCTCGCAGGAATTCCAAGGATGTCTTGCGCGTGCCGCGTCCCGCGCGCAGGAATTTTGAGGATGTCTAAGCTAATTCGCTGGTTTTGCTAGGAGTTCTTGGGACTTTGACCGGATGTCTCGAGCGCAATGTTTGTTTTTCATAATTTGTTGAGGATGTCTCCAGCGAAACGCTGATTTTGCAAAATTGGGGGATGTCTCGAGCGGGGGCCTCGTGGGGGGCCAGAATTCAGAGGATGTCTCAGGCGAAATGCTTGTTTTCACATCCCGCACGTATGAATTTTAGAGAATGTCTCGCGCGTGCCGCGTCCCGCGCGCAGGAATTCTGATGATTTTGTCTGGATGTCTCGAGCGAAACGCTTTTTCCAGCACGTTCCGTAGCGCGTCCCCTTGGCACGTCCCGCGGTGCGTTCCCATGGCACGTCCCTTGGCACGTCGAATTGGCGCGTCCCTTGAGACGTTCCGCGTCGCGTCCTCCTGGCATGTCCCCGTGTCAATTAGCTCTGGGGCAGCTAATATGTGTTCAAGCAGCTCGAGCTTAAGATCCAGATCAGTTCGGTCAGGACTCGGATGCAAAAGAGGACTCGATCCACGAGGCTATAGAGCACAATCGCGGCATGGCACATCGCAATTCAGCACGGCGCAGCACAGCATAGCCCTCGGCAGGGTACATCAAGATCGATACCGTCAGCATTGCAACTTGGCACGTAACCCAATCAGGTGTCTTTGAAAACGCTGCCACGCGTTACAATTCTATATTCCTTTACGGGTTCGTGGGTCGATCATGTTTTGTTTGTGTTCTCTCTCTCTCTCTCTCGCTCTCTCTCGCTTCGTGCTCGGCCTCAGGGGGGGGGAGAGGGGGGGGGGCTCCGCGGAGGCCTCCTGCAGGGGGGCGGAGGCCTGCGCGGCAGACTCGAGTACGCCGGAGCTGGGGGTTGCCGCCGCTTGTTGGCGAGCGCGTCCTGGGTTTTGACGGTCCCGCTTCCGCGGGATGTCTGCAGCGGGAGCTCGCACCACACCTCGGACTTGGGGCCGGCCACCCCCGCGATGTCCCCGTCGGGCCAGCCCGAGCCCCCCGAAGCCGAGGCCTCACGTCCCCCCCCCCGCCACTGGCTTGCACGCCTGCGGCTTGGCCCTGCCCCCCCCCCACCCCCTCTCCTCCCTGCCTGGTGTGGGATAGGTCGGGAGGAGCATTCACACCCTCGCGCCCCTGTTGCTGGATACCGTGTGTTCCTGCCAGCAGCTGGTGAGTGCCGCACCAAGCTGGCCGCCCCCTCGGCGAATCAGAGCGCAACTCCAAAAGTTTCCGCCAGCGAGCCGCGCGAGGCCCAGGAGCACCATGAGGCCTCGGGCCCCGCGGGCCCCACGAGGCTCGAGACTCGGCCTGCGGGCTCCGTGGAGTCGGCGCCAGGACACGGGTTGGCCTGCGCGGACATCGTCGCCGCAAGCTGCTCGCGCAAGCCGCCGCGGGAGGCCGCGGCGTGCCGTCTCGCGTGCCCTCCCCGCGGCCCCACGCGGAGGCCCCGCACCACGAGGCCGCGCCGGCCCAGGGTGACTCGCCTGCGCGCTGCCACGGGAGGCCCTGTCGCGCGCACGCGGGGGCGAGCGAACGGCGCCCCTCGGCGGCGTGCCCCGTGGAGGAACTCCTGGCGGGCTCGCGGGGCGCTGCCGCTGTGGTGCCGGTGTGCAGCAGGGGCGGAGCGAAGGCGGAGCGAGGGCGGAGCAAGCAGAGAGCGACAACGGAAAACATTGTCGGCTCGAGCCCATGAGGGTCGGAGATGCAAGGGGTGGCGGGCCCCCGAAGTGCACGCTTCGCAAACGCAGGCCCGCGGGCGCGCCTTCGGCGCGAGGCCCAACGCTGGGCAGTGAAGCTCTGCTGTTTTACTCCCTAGCGCGTTTCAGTCGCGACGGCGTGCCTCGGACGCGCGTGCCCTTGTCCAAACAACTCTCATCCTCGACGCCGCAGGGCGGGTGCGCGATGCAGACTGCGACGACGACGACGTTGGCGGCCCCTGCGCATACATCAAGCGTCGTTGTCTTTCCCGGGCGTTGGCCAAGTGTTCTCTTGTAGACGGTTGACCTGACCCCCTTGCCGTTCGACTCGCGTAGAGCCGGCGAATTTATTTTGCGATACGTACCGGCTTGGCGTAGGGCCCGCGGATTAACAAGTTGAGGACGTCCCGAGCGAAACGCTGGTTCCACAAACTCCCGATACATACAACACATGGTCAAGTGGACATGCTCGTTTTTTGTGTTCGGATGTTTCGAGAGACATTTATAGTCCTGAATTGGTTAAGGACGTCTGGAACGAAACGTTTGTTTCGTGTTATACGTTATTTCTTTCTGGGGGACCAGCATTCAGAGGATGTCTCAGGTGAAATGCGTGCTTTCGCGTTCCCAGGTCTTGAAGATGTGTTGAGCGAGACGCTTGGTTTCACGCGTCCTGGTTGCCCAGGCAGATGTCTAGCATGAGGATCTGTTGCGGATGTCTCGAGCGATACGCTTGTTGTCACACGTCCATCCAGGTCGCCCAGGCAGGTGTCTACTATGAGGATGTGTTGAGGATGTCTCGAGCGAGATGCTTGTCTTCACGTGCCCACGACGCCCCGGCGGATGTCTAGCATCACGATGTGTTCAGCATGTCTCGAGCGAGACTCTCGTTTTCACTTGCCAAGGTTACCCAGGCGGATGCTCAACACGAAGATGTGTTGATGACGTCTCGAGCGAGACGCTCGTTTTCACATGTCCAGGTCGTCCAGGTGGATGTCCAGCATGAGGGAGTGTTGAGAACGTCTCGATCGAAACGCGTGTTTTCACATGCCCAGGTCGCCCAGGCGGTTGTCTAGCACGAAGATGGCCTGAGGATGTCTGGGCGGACCCTTCACTTCACGTGTCCAGGTCGCCCAGGCGGGTGTCTAGCATGAAGATGTGTTGAGAATGTGTTGAGCGACATTTTAGGTTCACGTGTCCAGGTCGCCCAGGCGGGTGTCTAACATGAGGATTTGGGCAGGATGCCTCGAGCGAGGCGTTTGGTTTCACACGTCCAGGCTGCCCAGGCAGATGTCTGGCATGAGGATATGTTGCGGATGTCTCGACCGAGACGCTTGTTGTCACGCGACCAGGTCGCCCAGGCAGGTGTCTAGCATGAGGATGTGTTGAGGATGTCTCGAGCGATACGCTTGTTTTCACGTACCCAGGCCGCCCAGGCGGATGTCTGACAGAAGCGTGTGTTCAGG